TTCCTTGTATGTCTGGTGCATGTGAAGAATTGACAATAAAGCTAACTTTGACTTTGACTTTGATACACTTGGTGCTCTTGTGAGTATTCATGGTAGCAGGTGTTAGTGGGACTGACTCAAAATAAACTACAGTACCCATGTTCACAATATGAAAATAACATATATCATAAGGTATATCAGACAGATGCACAATACTTTATAACAGGATCAATTCATTGTTGATTTTGGTCTTTTTGTGGGATTTGTTGACACATCACAAAATACAGAATATCAACAGCAGGGCTGTGTAATGCCAAGGATCTAGCACTACGAGACATATCACAATACAGGGGTTACAGTTCAATATATTGCGATACTGTAAGCAAGCTGATGTATTGTGATTTAAAAAAAAAAAATCACATTTTAGGAAAACTGGCATAGTATAGAGAACACACACACTATCTAAATTAAAACAGTGGGATCTGCATTTGTATCTATCACAGCCCCAGTAACATCCAACCCACATCACTGCTATTTAACAGTTGGGGGATACAGTGTTTTTTAGAATCTATACAATATCAGAAATCATAATATTGCAACACTCAAGTGTATCGATATTTTCTAAATTTCCATAATCAATCAGTTTTTGTGCCTGGACCAAACCAAAAAGGTCAGAAAACTGTCTAATTTAAATCATCTTAGTGGTTATATGTGTTTTTGAAGGCACTGACAGATGTTGTCTTCCTGCTGATAGGGGTTCCAGATTAGAAAATGCTCATATGGGTCATTTTGGAAGGCAATGACAACTTATTTTCTTGTTTAGTGTTTAATTTCAAATGAACACCAACCTCCTGCTGAAGTCTGGATAAGTTCTAATAGTCTTTTTTGGTAGGTGACAAGCTATTATTTGGATTTTCTCCCCAGACCTAAAAAACTCAATCAAACTGGATGGTGTGAAAGTATTGTTGTAGAATGCTGTTCAGTGGCCGCTGTGTGCAACGGAGGGAAAGTTGTTTTCCTGCCAAGTCTTGTTCTGGACAAAGTTAATCTTTACTTAAAATCTACTCAGGGCTCCTTGTGACAGCAGTGTTGGTTGGGCTGTGGAGGCAGCACAGTGAGTGCCTGTCTTGAATAATGAGCTCTATCTAATAAACAGACTGTCGGAGGCTGTGTTGACATAAAGCACAGTAGGAGCTCTGCCATGGCCACAGGCAGGCCAGCTCACCCGGTGGCATTACGGCAAGAGCTCATTTTCAGCTTTTCAGCGAAAGGAACCAGTCGCTGTCATCCATGACACAATGTTACTGCTCTAGGTTTGAGAACATGGTGTGGGAGTGTGTGTGTGTGTGTCTTAGTTTACAGAAAGTGTGGCCCACTGTGCTGCAAGGTTGCCTGCTTAGATAAATGAGAAAGATGTATGCTTGTGGGCCTGGATTGTGTGAGCACTACACAAGAGCAGCCTAAAATGTAATGGTGAATGTTTAGCTCTCAGAGTGTGACTGTGTGCGTTTCAAGCGTCTCTGGGAGAACTTCATGTTCGAGTGTGTGTATATCCAAGTGAATGGGGTGTGGGAGACCCTCTGCCAATCCATTTAAACTGTGCCCTTGTGTAAGTGCATGCAGATTGACTGCTTTCTACATCCCTCCTCTGCTCCCTCACTCTCTCTTTCTTAAAAAACACACACACACACTTGACGCTGTGAGATGCTTTGGCTAAGAATGGAACAGTTTGATGTGGAAAAATGACTGCTATGGAAGCATCAGTTGTACTCCAGCTGGGAGCATGTGAGCTGTAACACAAGCCAAATGAAACCAAATGTACTACTGTATATTTAGCCAATTGTGTGTTCGCTAATGTGATCTGAGTGCTGTTGAAGTTTTTTGACAAAAGACTGAAATGCTTGATCTCACCTATGAGGACAATTGAATGGATTTAATGGAGTGCAAACGTGCACCTGTGTGTGTGAACACACTGTTTGCTGCACTCCCAAGTACATCTGTCTGCAGGCATCTTAAAGTGCTGTATTGTAAGCTGCCTGTTTCTGATTTTCTCTTTCAGACAATCCCAGCCAGGTGTCCAGAGTTGTGCTTGCAGTAGAGACATTAGATCTGAATGACAATGCACCCGAACTGGACAGACAATACACAACGGCATTGTGCGACTCATCCTCCATCGGGCAGGTCAGTATGTGTTTCAGTGACCTGATGTCACTGCATTTGTCTGCATGTACAGTTCTGTCCCGAAACTACAATGTAAAGTCCTTATGTGTAAAAAAATATTTTTAATAGCATCTTTACAGCATCTTTAATTGTTATGCTGGAACAAGCTTTTGTTTGTATGAAAATGGGACAATCCCAGTGGAAATTGGTGCAGTGTATTTCCTTTTCCAGCGCAGGAACATAACAAAACAGAATTTGACGTATAGCCATTGTCACAGTTTCTGCTTTTGTTTCCATGCTGCTCCTCTGCCTTGGGAACTTGGGGACAAGTTCCTGGAACTAAATTTTGGCACTGTTCATGTGGTGATACTACATGCAAGTTCCAGATACTTTCGGCAGGGTAAAAGATTGTAATTTATCAAGAAGAGAAACTTGTTCCGAAGCCTCACAAGGTTCTTAAAAAGTTCAGGTTATGGGATGCCCTAGAGCAGAGGTTTCCTAAGTGGGAGAAGGGCCCCAGAAGGGGGCTCCAAACCGTTTCAAGCTAGACTCACCGGTAGAGTACCAGCACTTGTGATTTTTGTCCACTTTTTTTGTACCCTTACATCTAATCACGACCTCCTGGTGAGTCTAGGTTTGCACTCAACCGCATAACGGCAGATTTTGTTTTTCCCCTTGGCAACCGCAAATACCTACTCTGCCTTTGACAGGCTAGAATTTGTTGCCTTTGTTGGTTTGGTTGGTTAGTGTCAAGCCTTGGCAATCCAGGGCAGCGAATGGGGTGGGTCTCTCTCTCTCTCTCTCTCTCTCTCTCTCTCTGAGGAAATATTGGTGGGAACAATATGTCCTTGGTAAAATGGATAAAAAAGCTGAAAGCATTGGGGTCAGGGTATATTGTTAGAGGTTGTGTTGAAATAGGCTAATAGCACGATTTTTGGTCCAATTCAGGCACTGACCATGAGCATATACATTCGTGGTTTTCAGTGACATATCTCTACAACTATTGGAGTAACTGCCATTAAATGTCTTACACACATTTAAGTCCCCCCTTAGGATGAACTGTAATAACTTGAGTGACCCCCTTACTTTTCAAGCAGCGCCATCATCAGGTTAAATTTGGGATCTGACCAATACTTTGGTTCATGATTAAATACCTGCAAAACAATTGATATTACCATAAGCCTCAGCTATGCTTTGTGTTTATTCCACTAATCATGCTAACAGGCTATGCTGATATGCCAATAAAATGTTTTTTCTTGTTTTGTATGTCATGTATAAACCATATATTATGATGTACTAAGGTACTAGCATAAAATAACATATACAAATATTCATAATCAATCCGGATGTTTATGTTACTACAACATGGCCAATCTGTAAACTCTTGTCAGACAAGGAGTCAGGAACGAGATCCACGCTGTTAGTTGTCAAGCATCAAATTTATTTATTTCAAACAGTGATGTCTCCTATGAAGAAACATACAGTACAGTGCCTTCAAAGCTGTTTCAAGTAAGGCAGCATATTATTCAAAGCCATGCGTATTCAAGTATAGGAGCATATACAGTGCCGTGGTACTAATCTGTTCAGATATGGCAGCATACAGCTACAGTGTGCCCATTCACCATGTAGGCAGGTGAATCCTCCATGGCCTGTTATCGGAATGCAGCAGCTATTCACATTGTAATTAAACACGAGCCTCCTCTTAGACTGTCTCCCTCGTTCCTGCCATCCGTCTTGCTTTATTTGTGTTCCTGTCTATTTTTCTGCATCATGGTGCTCTTATTCGATCCTATCTCAATTATAGAAATCATCTCTGTGCTCCTCAATCTCTCCCTGGAAACCATCCCTTGCTCTCTTTTTTGTTTCTCTCCTCCATCCTCAGTATTCCATGCTGGCTCCACCGCCATAATTTGGTATCTTGGCCCATCTGTTGTTTTTGCTGGTGTTTTCATTGCTCTGCTTGTGTCTTTGTTGTTTCGCCACTAAATCTGTGATTCTATGGCAACGGCGTTGATTTGTTTTCGCCTGTGATGTTCATGTTTGTGTTTGTGTATATTGTTGTGTGAGTGAGCGGGAGACAGTTCAAGAAAGGAAGATTATGATATCTTCAAATATGTTAGGGCTGTGTATGCACGTCTCTGTATGACAAGTCATTAGCCAAAACACGTTTGAATATTCACACACAGCAACTGATAACATTATGCGACTATACATAACAAATCTTCTCAAGGCCTAGAGACACTGACTGGCTCAGAGAGCACGCAGCAGCCATCATCCCATACACTCAGTCTCGTAACTAGCACTCGAAAGCATTTCTGAAAGAACGTCTTGCATAATGACGACCGGAGTTTTTTCATTAAAAAGAAATTACCCATCAGCTTAGACCGCCGGAGATTTTTTTCTTAGATTAATTTGGTTACGATTGTGCAGATGCTATTACTAAATTGAAAGCCACGCTGCACTGTATTTGTGAAAGGCGATTTATGTCAGGCGCAGTTATTTATACGGCGTGAGTATCAGACACAGTTCACTTGTGTCTCTGTGCTAATTGTTTGGCTTGTTTTGATTCCTGCTGACGTCGGCTAATGGTTTGTAGCTAAAAGCACTCTCTGTGTAAGTGTTTCTCCCATTACCTTCCTTTCTCTTCTCTCTGCTCTCTGTGCTTTCCCTCCCTCCACACCCACACACACACACACATTCTCACCCTCCCTTCACCAAATCTCCTCTGCTTTCTCTATCTCTCTGTTTCAGGTGGTGCAGGTGTTGCGGGCGATTGATAGAGATGAGGGAGGGAATGACAGCACTGTGTATTTCAGCATCCCTCCGGAGTCCAGCGCTGCCCTCAACTTCAGCGTCAGGGACAGTGGTGGTAGGCACTCAATCTTTCCCTCTCTCTGTGTATCTCTTAATTCCTTTTTTTGTTCCCTAGGCAGACACATATTGTTTTTCCCCCCACTTTTTTAAGGCTCTTAATCCCACATTTTCTTTCCGCCTTTCTCTTTCCATGTTCGTCTTTTCTCCTATTCTCTCTTTCTTTTACCCTCCTCTCAAACCCTCTTCCTCTTCTCCTCCCTCTACCTCCTCCTTCCCTTTTTCTGTCTCTGCCTCTCTCTTGTACCATCCATCTCCCAACTCTGGTGGCCACATTGTTTTGCTTTGTTATCCTCCTCTCTTTTATTCGTCCCTCTTGTTTGCCTTCCCATATCCACTACATCCATCTTCCACCCCCACCCAGCACCCACCTCATATACTTACTGTTTCCAATGAAAAGCTTTTGAAGAAATCTGAGCTGCTTCATTTAATTCACTTTAACTCAACTGAATTTAGCTACTTAGTATTTGTTTCTGGTACATTCTCAATCTGCTTTCTTTACCCTTTCCTACACAAATACACACACATACTGTATATAGAGTGCAAGTACACACTGACATACTCAACAATGTTCACACATGTTGGGCTTGTTGATTCAAGGAAGTCATGTACTCCTGATTATTTGCAACCCCTAAGCATCAAATCATACATGTTAAGGGTTGTTTGTGCTGAGTAAAACTTAAAATAAATAATAAAACAAGTTAGAAAAAAAAAGATTTCTGCATGCAACAACAAATATGTACTGTACTGTGGTATTGTTTGCAGTCAGTGTTTCACAACAAAACACGTTGTTTGTATCCTTGAGGCCTAACACAGATGCTGAATAAAATATAAAACATTTGCAAAGCTAAAGTTTTTTAATACTATGCTCTACAGTAGTACATTCCAGATTAAATCAGCAGCAGTCTTCTTCTTTTTTTAACCCTTTGCTCTTCTGCTGCACGCTTTGATGCATTACAGCCACGGACTGTCAGTGGAACAGCGTGAGGCTTACACCTTACATGTACTACATATTTGCATTCCTGCCCTCTGCAGCTGGCATAAATACATATTAAAACATCGCTCCAACAGTGGAGACAGTGAAAATACCTTTATTATTATGTCCAATATACTTGGTTGAATTCATCAACCATGACATATTAGCTAGATATGTCAGTTGTATATCAAGCTGTAGTAAGACAATTTGTCCCAAATACAGCATATTCACTTCTAAAAAATGTTTTGCAAAAAAAGCTGTATTTATTGGTTGTTTTGGCCACTGTGGGGCAACGCAACAAAACACAACACTGACACATTTTCACCTTAAAAAGTGTGGGATACACATCCAGCAGCATTAGCATTTATCTGAAGTCTTTCCGTTCACCAGACCAGTGTTGGATATTCAATGTCCTATGAGCTTTGTTTGGGTCTTCACCTTGCAGCTAAATTCTCCACTATGTCTGTCTGCTGTTCGGTGCTGAGCAGGTAGCATAGCCTACAAAGGGTTTATCAGAGCTTTTCACTGACAACAGCTGCCTGCTGTGGTTGGAAATGAGGTTGATAACAATTAAGTTGCAGGTCACAAAACTAAGAGAATTAGCTAAAAAAAATTTGTGATAATTCTCTGTGGGATTAGCATGATGAAACAGTTCATAGAAAAGGTGCCTTGATATGTGTATTCTGTGCCTTGGCTGCGCACACGTCCTCTGTCATATCGTAACTGTCTACTGAAGATATTATTTTCTGATATCTAATGTCTGATAGTCATATTTAATGATGATTTGCAAAATTCCATTAGCTGGGGAGCTTAGTACTGATAGGCTATCGCTTGCGCCATTGGCCTGCTAATTGTTCCTAAACTTGGCAAAACCACGAGGAGCGAACCTGCTCTGGTTGGACTGTGGATCAGGAGGATAAACTTGCTGACATGTGGAATCAAAGGCCTCTTTGATGTGTCATCCAACAGAAGAACAGAGAAAAAAAGAACATGTTCATGTTCTGTTCTCGTATGGCCAGCTTGTCTATGTTAAAAAAGATAATGATTTGATCTGTGATTTGGATCAGAGAGAAAAACTTGGACATGTTTATATGACTTTGCAGTGCCTTTCATGCTTATTAAATATTTTCCACTCTATGTTCATGTGCCCTCTTTTGTGTGGGCTTATTTTTTGTAGCCTTGTGCATTTCATTTTGAAGAAATCTAAAAATAACTTCTACACAGCTCTTTTGCCCAAAAGTAAGAGGAGACGGACCAATAAAGGGCCATTAGCTCTTGCATAGTTGCTGCTCTCTGTCCTAAATTGTTTCATGTGAGCCATTTGCAAAAACTGAAAGATATGTGGCCTTTTGATGAGTTCTATACGTAAAAACATTCAAGCATTGTGCGAAACTTGATGCTTTAGATGTACAGTCTCTGTCCGTGCATACTATATATTTATATTTTGGCACTATCAATCAGGTATGGTGTGAGCCAGCAGGTATGAGAGTCTTTGTATTAGACAGTACTCCTATATAAAGGATATAAAGGCAGTAGTTTTGCATGTGAAAGTATCTAAGATTTTATGTTTCGTATTCAGTTGGGAGCCATTAATCATGAGTGGCTGCGGGTAAGAGTTGGATACCCTAACTGAGACTCTACAGCAGATTCACCCTGTTTGCCCAAATTAATATCATTGTTATTCTGGTGTAAGACATTGTAGCTTCAATGCTGGGGAAAACGTTCTCAAATGAAAGGAAGTGTGAAATGAAATAGTAATAATAACAGAGGAAGATGGACTCCAAAGTTAGATCTTTCTCATTCTTTTGTGGTACAAATCAATCACCAATTGATTGGAACCACACATTTGCAAACATGAGCACAGTCAAGTTTGAGGATAATTTCACCATTATACTGTCCGGCTGCCAATCAGCACAAGAACAAATTAAAAATTGCACTATACAGTTTACAATGGATGAATGATCTTCCTCTCTGTCTTCCTTCAGGCCCCACAGCCAGCCTGGTGCTGCTGTCCCAGCTCCAGCCGCTGTCCCGCTCTGCATCCTCTACCCTGACGCTCTACGTGCCGCTGGTCCTGAGGGACGGCACGTCAGGCCTCACCAGCACTGGGACGGTCACAGTGTCCGTCTGTCCCTGCCTGAGAGGAGGGGCACGGGCCGGGGAGAAAGAGAAGGACAAACAGACCGAGGGCGAGTGGGACTGGGAAAGAGAGGCAGTGTGTCTCCCTCAGCAGTCCACACTGCCTTCCCCTGGGCTCAGTACTGCCGCCCTGCTGGCTATCCTGGCTTGTGTTGCTACGCTACTGGGTAAATAGTCACCATAAGACAATAACAACAGTAAAAAAATTGTAATATAAATATTTTTTGTCCATTTAAAGACCCTTACTTATACAACCTATATCATGTTACTATAGAGCATAGTATTATTTATACAGTAAAGTAATATCATTAAGATTTCCTGCATGTAAAAGAGGTTAATGCTAATCTACAAATAAAAAGATAAGTAAATAGTGTTCAGGGCTGTTTACCCTCCACTACATCCCTGGATGCTTAATCTGCATATGAAAATAATGAAAGCAGCAGCGTAAATATTTCTCTTAGTCACAGCTGCTCAATAGCGGGGGTTTACTTTTCCTCGCAATTTTGGTCCAGTTATCTCCTCTGGCAAGGTCAGCACTAATCACTCCTAAAATAACAATTCTGAGTGATTATCTGGGCCCTCCAGTTTTTGATAGCGGCATAATAAAATGTCACTGCCACCTTTGCAGAAACTCAAATGCTCAATTGGATAATGTCTAGGTGCTGAGAAGGCTTTGGCTTGTGGCCAGCATCATTGTCATTTCTATTCAGTCTGTTGGATCACTACTCATGCCGTGTTGATAGGGGCATTATCATTCTGGAAGAGACCAGTTCAATCAAGAAAGAAACGCAACACGGCGTGAAGGTGATCATGCAGCGTGCTTTTGGCGGAGTTTAGAATTTAGTTCTCTAAGTGGCAAGGGCACCCGGAAATTCACACAGCGTTAGAGCATTCACCTCAAGTTTGTAGCTTTAAAATAGGGCTAGAAATTGGTTCCAGCACAATTTTGTTTTTCTTGTCTACAAGAGGTCCAAGCTAATCCCGAACTGGGCCCTCCACAAAATGCCAAATGTTCTTACAGAAGCTTTGACAACAGCTCCATCAGGATCCCATCTGGTTATTAAAAAGGGGCTTGGCATACATAAGGCGGATATCAAGCCATTTGGTAACCACTCTTCATGCGAGCCTGTTGTATAGAGGCTTGAAGAGAGAGAAATACATGTTTGTCATGGCTTGAAGGTGATCCCTTAAATTGATATGAAAGATTAGAGTTTTCCCACTCCTTTCAGGGATCATTAGATTAGTTCAATGGAAATCAAATAATGCAACCTCCAACAATATTAAGGCTGTAGATTTACTGCAGCAGCTTAACCACATCCACAGAGAGAAGCTGGCATGTACAGTATATGCGCACAGTATGCACATACACCAAGACATAGAAATAGACGTATTTCAACCTGGCTATAGCTATAACTATAGCTTACTAACTACAGTCATACACAAACTTATACCAAAGGCAAGGCAAATGTCATTAGCTATCCTTGTTATTTTGTGGGGCTACAACTTTCTGTGGAAGAACTGGAACATCCACCCATTGGGAACCAAGATGCTAGTATATCATACAGATGCCGCCACCTGAAATTGCTGGCTGGTCCATGACAGGTCCATGCTTATCTGAATGGAATGAATGGATATATCCGGCTGGCAGCTGGTTGGCAGCTGGGTGGGGGTGGCAATTCTGAGTGACTGGTACAATTATAATTTATGCAAGTCATATTCAGATAGATGTTCCCCGGGCCGTTATGGATTGGGTCCAGTATTTTGGTCCCATGAAGACCTGGAGTCTTCGTACAAGTATTCCCTATATTCCCTATAACTATATAGAAGTAGATTATTTCTCCAATTTAAACACAATAAACATATTGAGTTTAACAACAGTTCTTGTCAAATAGCAGACCAAATGCTTCTGGGTGGACTATCACAGGTAGCCTTGTAGGACAACTGTCGAGGAGCAACTATAGCTTGGTTCTTTCCCTGCAGCCCGGGGTCAAATGTAGCTCTCTGCTTTGGGATAATGTGGAATAAGAATCATGAAGCCATGGGAGAGTATAGCGTCCATTTGCCTGGCTGGAGCTCAAAGTCAATTACACAGTGGAGGCATGCATCCTGCTGATATGATATACCAGCCCTCTAACCCAAGGCTTGGTCTGTATTTCTATTGTCTCTGTGTGCCTCACCTCTTTGTCTGCCTGAAATTTTCTCCCTTGCTCACTCGTCCTCCTTCCCTTTATTTCCCCTGTGACTTCTGCCCCCTTCTCCCTTGTTCATCATTCTTTTTCCAATTTCTCTCCTATGCCTCAATATTCTTTATTCCTGCTGCCACCCCTCTGCAGCGGTGAGTGCCCTGTCATTGTCGCTGCGCCGTCAGAAGCGTGACTCTCTGTCACCGTTGGAGGAGGACGACGTACGTGAGAACATCATAACGTATGATGACGAGGGCGGGGGCGAGGCCGACACTGCTGCCTTTGACATTGCCGCGCTCCAGAGTGCACCACACAGCTCACGCTCACGTGGCTATCGCACACTAGACAGCAGGAATGTGTAAGTAGGCAGAGGGAGTGCGTGGGAGAGTTTGTTTCCATGTGGCCATACATATACAACAATTGTTGTCTAATTTCATCAAACCACATGGCTGGCCTTTTGTTACACGCTTAAAGGAAGTCAGGGAGGAAACAAGTACCCCTTCAAAGTAAAGGCTTTATCTCAGTCCAGCACTTAATTGATCAGCTTAAGGAACTGATCAAGCCGTAACTTCCAGGTCATATTAAGGCACCGATCAAAATGCTGAGACAGAAGGCTATCAAGCTTTGCAATCCTCAGAGACCACTTTGTTGTGCTCATTTTGTTAAAGCTCGTTTATGTTCTGCTACATCAGAGAGCAGTTCGCACCCACTTTGATGTCTTTCTGTGAAAAATTGTTATTGCCTTTGGACTAATAATTAGCTCAGATGAATTCACGCAAGCCATATGGGGAGGCCATAAACAAGTACAAAGGCTGCTTTTAGTTTATCGAAAATTGCTTCTCGCAATTTATGGAGGTGGACACAACAACATGGGAAACCTTCTAAATTCTAATGCAATCCACTGCAATATCCCTGCAATAAATACTACCTTTGTGAAGTTTTTATTTTTGTTGACACTGTGTCACGGAGGAGTGGATAGTTAAACTTTATGGTAACTTTGAAGTTGTAGTTTGTGGTTCTGTTGTACAGCATATCCACCAAGTTTATTCTTGAATTTCTGTTAGCTTGTCATAGGGAGTAATAACAGTCCTGTTATGTCTTCTGTGGCTCTGGAGGGAGCTTTCTTAAGTCTGTGAAAGTAACCCTGATGATGTTTCCAGGGTTATCTTGGATTGGGCTTGGAGACTACACATTTTTAACAGAAGGCGTGCATCACAAAAGTCAGGATATCTTGGCCTGAACTTTGACTGTCTGACTTAAATTCTATCTACAGAAGCCCTCACCCAACCTTATGCAAGAGAAAACTATATCACTGGACCCCGTTAATGTTATTAGGCACACCTGGGTGTACAAAAAAAGAAATATCCTACAATGTGGATATATTGCTACACAGTACAACATCACAAACCACGGTTTCAAAAATGCTGTCAAAACCAGAGATATTGTCCTGGTGTGTGTGGCACCAGGACACATTATCACACCAGAGACTTTTATTTCCTGTCACTGACTTTTGTTCACTGGCAAATAAAGTAAATATGGCATTTACCTGACTAAGTTAAATGGAAATTTTGCCTTGTGTCTTGCAGACGTTACGCCCAGCGTAGCCAAGACAAAGCTCGCACCTATAGCTGGGCTCAGAATCCGGGTGTGGATCACAACTACACAGGACCAGGAGGACCTCTCTATGGTCGCCTCTGTTACAGCAGCCACACATTACCTGTTCTCCGCCGCACACCAGGGGGAACATTTGAACCAGGCCTGGCAGAGCTGGGATACCGCTTTCCTGGAGGCCAGCCAGATCACTCTCTGGTAATCCAGAACCAAGGGGCCATGGTAGGGCCAATGGAGTCTGGGGCAGTGTACATAGCTCCCACAGACCTCAGCACGGGAAGCCGAACGGGGAGTCGTACAGGAAGCCGTGACGGGACTGCACCCCAGAGTGGGGTAAGCACGTCAGATGGAGGAACACCCAGGACCAGTGACAGCCAGGAGAGAGGAGCGGGGGCAGGAACTGCAAGCAACTGTACAGATGGGAGCAATGAGGACAAGATGAACCACAGTCAAGATGTGGACTGGGTAAGGATTACAGTGACCCCACTTTCACACCAAACATGCAATTCTGGATCACAGTTCAGCTTTGAGTTAATCCTAAATATGCCACCTGTGTCCAGGGGCATTCTCACATGTATAATAGGCAGGAATTATAATGCCTCCAATTTTGATGTAGAGAAAAATAGAGTCAACAATTTGGTGCACTCTAAATTCAAGGATTTATGTAATTCTACTCTTCAATCCAGTCTACCCGGTCCCCAGGGAGATAATGGAGGATGCCAGGTTAGAAGATTAATGCTGTTATTTTCCACATAGCAATGTTGTCTGTAGCATCCAAGTTAGCCGTTTGGTAGGACGTACTATAATGCTTTAGATAATGACGTCCTACAATCTACACTGTGCAAATAATATGTACATGCACATTTGGTGTGAAACTGGAATATAAATGAATTGATAATCCATTAAGTTCTGTACTGTAACACAGTTTTATACATGGATGGATGGATGGATGGATGGCTTAATGTTTCAGGAAGCAGAAAAAGTGATAGATGTCGCATAGAATAATAATTATGAATTAAAATTGAATAAATTACATAATTAATGATAGATGGCTGCATTGGAGAAAGTATTAAAGATGAATGAATTACTTAATTATTCAATTAAATGAGCAAATGAGTAAGTAAGAAAGTAATTAAGCAAATATAAAATAATTATTAAGTTTGCTTTCAACCTAACGTACTATATTATTGCAGTGATTGCAACAATATAATATTTTTTTCTCTCCACGGTAGCAGAAATGTCCAGGACAATGTTTGGGAAGATGATGATTCAGACATATCAGCACATTTATATCCTGCTGTTCATTATCTTTTCTATGTTTTGTTTTATTTATTAGGCCATTGCAAGGCTCTCTGGCCCTTCCTTTATTTAATTTTCAAATATTTTATCTCTCGATCACTTCCCTCTCCATCCCCCTCTCACAGTGCAGTGTTAGCTCATTTTAGTGTCCAATTAATATCTATGGCTTCTTCCAACTCTGCTTTTCCTCCACTCTGTTCTGCTCAATGTCTGCCTCTCCTTCGTTTCTCAATCACTTTTTATCATCCCCCCCATCTCTCTGCTTTTATTATTCCTCTTATTAAATGATCCTTCACCCCATTTTTTTGTGTTGACCAAACCTAACAGTACCACACCCTACCCCAGCCCCGAACTGAAACCACTCGTGCTCGCCTACGTTCCCCCCAGGTGCAGTCGGAGACGTTACCCAGGGAGCATAACCTCGTCATGACCCGATCCGGCTCCATGATGGGCCAGGGTCACGGTGCAGGAGGCTGGGTGTGCGACTCGGCTACCCTCCCCATGGCAGGACGTAGGGCCTCCCGCTCCGGCTTGTCCCCAAAGCGCACAAGCTCTGGCCAGGCTGAAACTGACTCCAGTGGAGGAGGAGGAGGTGGTGGAGGAGGAGGAGGAGGGGGAG